ACATGAGAACACACCATGAACATGACAGTAAATGGTCATTCATCATAGAAGAGCAGAAATGAACTCAACTTTGTTCAGAAAGAAACAAAACAAAACCCCACTCAGGCATTATTAACGGATTACTTTTATTATAAATATACAGTGTTAAAATGGAATGGTACCTGACACTGCCAGCCGTTAACCGCTTATAGAAACTAAAATATGGAACTGGAGTTTGTGCTGCAGATCTGCAATCATCAAATCACACAAATGCAAGAACCTGGATCGAGTGAAACTCCTCGCAGACTGATTATACCAGCAAGAGTCCGCTCTCTTCAAAAGTTCAACACAGTTTATAAAGAAAAATCAAAAAGGTGTGACCGCCTTTTTAAAGTTCATCTTTTGTTTCGAGGAGGAAAAAAATAACCAAAAAATTTGAGGAAATGGTGTCAATTGCTCAAAATGAGATCACAAGAAGATGTGACTGAAACATTCATTGGTACTTAACATCCAATAGTTTAGGGAACAGGTGCAACATGCAGCATTTATAACATCGTCGTCTCACTTTTACAGGATGGAAAAGCACTTTTAGTGCCGATGGTTTTCCAAATTCAGACTACATTTCCCATGAACCCTTCCGCTCAACTTAACCGTTGGCCGGACAAAACAAGACATCAATTTGATCTGTGTGAAGGACATCTTCCCTATTTTATAGATTAAAGAATTAATGGATAATGCAAATTTTTATTCCCTTTTAAGTCTTTTTTTTTTTACGTATAAATTTCAAATTCACTGGTTTGGAGTGTAGAAATCTGCCCGACGTCTAAACTTTTCATAGACTGAATGATTAATTGTTCAATAATGAAAATAATTGTTTGTGCCTCAGTCATTTCACAGCTTGGTTTCATGACAAAGTTCTTCTTCTCTTGTCTGTAATAATTCCCAGACGTTAAAATGTCACATGTAGCACCTTTCATTTGATCATTTATCTTCATGAATGTTGCTCACCGGATGAATCACATCACTAGGTGTCGAGTCCTGTAGGTCCAGTTTGCTCCGGGAGACGCCGCGGAGTCGAGCGAGCGTCCTGCGAGATAATCTCCCCTCACGCTTTGAAACAAGGGATGGAGAAAACACCACACGACAACAGGAGCCGTTGTTCAAGTCAATGGCATGAAGGCTAACGAGCAAACGGAACTTTCAGTTGCTTACAAATATCAACGCTCAATGTTCACTTTTAGGTATCAGGCACTTCATTTTTAAGTACTTTACATAAATGAGCAGTGCCGTTCAAGACCGATGCTGAAGTAGTGTGCAAAACACTGGATAAAACAAATCAGTTTGAACATGCATAACAAAATGTAAACATTTAAATCTTTAACTTTATCAAAAAGGAAAGGAAAAAAAAGAAATTATACCTAAAGAAACCTTTACAAACTTAAATAACCAAAGAAGAAGAAAAACAATTTGACTCTCATACTGGTTTTAGTCCAAGCTAGAAGATCTCCACATGCTGTCATTAACATAAAAAATGAACATGCAGGGGGGGGGGGGGTTAACTAAGTAAGGCAACAAAATGTTCAGGAGAGTCAGACTGACATCAAACTGGTCCTGTGGAGCTGTGGTTTGACTGGGAAGGTCCCAGCGTGTAGAATGTTAAACATGAAAGCAAAGGAAAATGTGTAAACGCCACACTCAGGGGTGAACAGCCTGCCACTATGTAGCGGAGCTGGAGATGCAATAACTCGTTGAAATGTGGAGAACGGAGATCACTTTAGTTAGTTAGTTTAAGGTGTTGCACTCGGTTTTTCACACAAATAAAGTGGCAGAAGTATTTGTATGGAGAACTCGTTTAAAAAGAGAGCTTGAAAGATTAGTTCACGCCAGTTTTTCAGAAAGTTACATATATTGTCGGCGACGGCCCCGTGGTTGTATGAAGGTAGCTGGACACCTCGAAAAAGAATTATCTTAAACTTTTGACAGGACTTAAGTTTTTATATTTGTGAACCTTATCTAATGAAGCTAATACATCTTTATTTTCGCAAAGCGTTAAAAGTTTAAAGCGTTTCCAAAACCAAAATTGCAAGAGCAACTACATCAGGAATGCAATAAACAGGGTGCTTATCATAAGCTACAAACGTTAGCATGTCTGGCTAACTGGCGTTGATGGTGTAAACGTGTCTCACACCTCTCTTTACAGCTGAGGAGGAGTTTGTACGGAGGTGTGAAAGTAGCTGGAGTTTGATCTCAAGCCTCCTTTTTCTAACGTACAACCGAGTGCAGTAAAAGTGTGAGCCGTCCTCCCCATTTTAAAGAATTCAGCGCCAAGACACACAAAAGACATTTCTAAAAAAAGGGAAACAAACATGCTGCTGTTCTTCTTCTTCGCTGGTGGTATATTACCGCCACCGAGCGGCTTCTCACCCAACAATCAAGTGCGAAAGCTCGGATACAAACATTTTTATCTTTAGCCGCAAGGTGTACGAACACTTTTCTTTAAAGCACACGGAGGCCTTTACTGCAGGGCAGCACTGCACAGACTGAGCGCGCTCAGAAACATGTCACCTTAATAAATAAAGGCTTACAGACAGGATGAAGCAGAGCGAGACCCAAAATATACATTAATCCAGCTGTAAGAATATCAGACTTATTGTGAGATATATCCACTCTCACTGCATTGATGATTGTTGTCAAGAAATAACCACAAACGAGAAGTATTTTGTCTTCCTCTCGTTAAAAATAATGACCAATAATATCCTAAAATATGAACCGTCACTGGTGAGGTCTGGTGGAGTTGTATGTGCTTTGGTGCTTCTGCGCAGCTATGATCTACTGAGGATACATTTCTCCACTCATGCATTCATTTACAAACAGTTCCGTCTGACACAGAGCCAACCGCCCTATAAATCAGAATAAAACTGCAAATATTTTCATTACAAGTCATGTTATCTTTTAATTTAGTTCTTTAAAATATTTTCTTAAAACTCTCCGGACAAATAAATCTGCTGTGAGAAATGTTAAACTCGTTTCAAAAGCAGGAAGAAGCTGTTTGAGACTAATGACTTTCTGAGATGAAAAGAATTTGCAGCTTTAACCATTAAAAACAACAACAATATGGCTACATAAAGAATAAACAGCACCAGTTAATTTCGATGTCGTAGCTGATTCCACTATTAAAATAACAAAAAGAAATTGGCAGTAAGATGAAATGAAACATGGCAAATATAAATATGGAAAAACAAATGAAGCACGTGGGTACAGTAGGTGTGCAAGTCTGAAACCAACCGAGACGAGTGGAAGGAGAAGACTGCGGTTAAAGGGATACCTTGACATTTTGATTTTCTTTTCTACAGCTACATTGGGTTTTTGTCACAATATGGTGTCGGTGTGTTGGCACTTTAGATGAAGAGGAGGATTGGTTTAAAGTGGGAAACGGCAACACGTTCTTTGGTGAATGCTTAAGGTTCGATTTTCTCATTTTCACTGAGAATGAGAATGTCGGCCGCTCTCTTAAAGCAACGGCTTTTTTGCTTTCTTGCCCGGATTTAGACGAGAAGATCGATACTACTCAAATATAATATAATATATATAATACTACTAAATGTATGATTAGCCTAGCTTAGCACAAAGAATGCAAAGAGGGGGAACGGCTAGCCAGGTTCTGTCCAACAGTCACAAAATACACCGCTAACGCTCACTGATTAAAATGTTTAAATCTTAATCTTAAAAGAGTTATGTGTCAGACTACTTCTTGACTGGTGCTCCCAGCAAACAAAAATGGTGGTATACAACCTCCCACAAGGACCACAACGTGTCATTTTTACATTTACTTTTTTGTACAGATTAAACAAAAGTATAAAGTATTAAAGAGTAAGCTTTTAGAGATGTTGGTAACACTCGGCCAGGAAGCAAGTAAGTCTACTTCCCAAAAATGTCAAACTATTCACATAACAAAAAATAAACACCCTGACAAGTTGAAAGGTCAACTACCTCCACCGCTGTGTAATATCAGGGGTAAAGCACATCCGTGAAGTATCCAGATTGCAGGTTGAAGGATAATTCTGGTGATATTATATATTTTTCTTATTGTCAACTAATTTAAAGAAAAGACACAAACCAATATTTTTCTGGAATTTAAGAAAAAATGTAAATTGTTGGAAAAACAGCTGAGGTAGTCTGAATGTTTGGGCTACATGTTTGATCTCTACACACGATTCTTTTGCCTGTGCTGATTCGTTATCGGCTGAACGAGTGGTAGCGATGAAGGCGGGACGACGGCGCCAACGAGTGGCCACAGTGGTGTTAACAAGGAAAACAGCTGGGCTGGGTATCGAAACTTTTACTTCATTTATTAGTGCCGTGTGAAACGTGTCAGCATTTTTAAACCTCTTGATTTAAACCTACATTTTTACCAGTTTTAAGTACAGCTGCTAATATTAAGACATTTAAAATTTGATGACTTTGGCTTCTTTTGTTAAAAGTTGTTTCATTTCTCAACATAACAGAATCTCAGGCATCGTCTCCACACTAGTAGTTCAAGGACACCCAGCCCTGCTGAGGAGTGAAGGGAAACCTAACAGGTCCAACATCAAGGTATCTCTTTAACTGAATGTATTTGAAGCCAGCGATGAAACAGATCGCCGGCCATTTAAGGCACATATGTGTAAGTTTATATAATTTCTTCTAACGAGCAGGACTACAGAAAGGCTTCACTTAACGAGCTATAACGTGAAGACTGAGGAGCTCCAGATAACATCTAGACACTTTATCAGAAAATAACTATCTCTCTACAGAAGTAGAGTACAATTTAAAAATGAAACTATCAAACTACAGTACACTCTAGATGCTAATTTATGAAGTCTTGATGCATAGCATCACGCATAGATAGAATGATTTATATTTTAAGTAATATGGATCTTTTTCAACATTCCACCGAAACATTGAATAGTAGAGTTAATAGTGTTATGGCAGTGTTTAAGAGTCACACTTCTCTGTTTCTTTGTGTTTTACCTTAAAGAGACAGAAGCGAACAGAGAAAGAAAGAGAAACTGATTTGTGATTGTCATGAGTCTCAGTGTCGTCATTCCTCTGCAAAGTTCAATCAACGACGTGATCTAAAAAGACGGAAAAAAACAACAAGGAGACAAAAATGGGAAAGAAAGAAGTTGTGAGTTCAATTTTTCTCAAATGAAGCAAAGAAAACGTCCCTGCTCCAGATGTTCAGGCGTTAACCTGAGCCGGATCAACCGCTGAAACATCCGGCATCCAAAACCAACACCAAGCCCCACGGTGGAAACAAATCCCTAATTTATCAGACAAAATGCTAATATCAACAGAGGGAATAATGCTAAAAACAGTGCGTGTCAGTGTTTGAGGGCCCGGCTCTCTTCAGCTCTGCTGGACCAGAGAGGTGGGGGGGATCCTTCTCCTCCTGCTCTGACTTCTGTAGTTTGTTGTTTCTCTCAGCTTCACGTCGCTCTATTTCAACCACCACCTCCTCCTTTACTTCCACTCCTCCCTCTCCTGTCTCTGTCTCGGTCCTTGGGGTGTCGGCCATGGATACCGGTGGAAGAAATTTCCCAAACCTCGTCCCGTTCAGATCGTCCTCAAATTTCACCTGGAAGGGTGGCAGCCCGAGCAGGAAGGCCCTGATCCTGCTAGGGGAGCTCAGGTCCGCGGGTTCCTCCTGGTTCTCCATCTCAACATCCTGTTCTCCTCCTCCGTCACTTCCTCCAGAGCTGGACCGGCCTCCCAGGCTGAAGCCCTCGGCTTGCTCCGTGCAGCCAAGTCTGGATCTCTTGGATGACGGTTGATCCGTGATCCCGTTGATCGTTGCCAGACTCGGCTCCGGTCCCTCCGTGCTGGGTCTCTTAGCCGTTAAGCGTTTGCTGAGGTTGAGAGGCAGCGCCTGCTCGGGGGGAGGGGTGATGGGAGAGCAGGGGGGCTTGGTGCTCAGGTCCTGGGACAGAGCCTCCGACAGTCGGCGGGTGAAGGTCTGGAATTGAGATGAGCCCAGACGAGTCCTCATCAGCTGGCACACCTGAACGCTGCAGTCCAGGTTCAAAGGCAGGACCCGGAGAGGGGGCAGAGGAGGCCGGTTCCTGGCGTCCCGGCTGCCTCCTCTCTGGGCTGCCTCGTCCACGTTACACCCCGAGCAGTGGTTGTGCTGCTGCTGCTGCTGGTGCAGCGGGTGGGGCTGAGGCTGGAGCTGGTCCCCGCTGGGATGAGGCGTATTCAGGCTTCCACTTTTGGGCTGGAGTGTGTAGATGGTCGGGTGGTGCTGGGTCGGGTTCTGAGGAGTCAGGGCCGGGCTCTCCGGGACTCTCTGGAGGCTGATGCGGTTCCTGAAGACATCCAGAGGACAGACGCCTTTGATGGGACTGAAGCCGCCCAGAGATCCTCCAACAAAGTGGCGAGGCAGAGTGGAGAGGAGCACACCTGGAGCAGGAGCCACGGACTCCCCTCGGTCCGGCATCGGCTCCTTTGGTTTGGGCAGGAAGGGGAGGAAGGGGGCTGACATGGGGGAGAGGTCGGGGGTGAGGGGCATGTTGACAGGGAGGATAGCCGGATAGACGGGCTGCAGGGAGGGAGGAGAGAAGAAGAACAAGGCGGTCATGGATAGGGTTTAGTCATATTTATTCATCCGTTATCAGCTTTTGAAAGGTTTTGTTGCAGCTCTGTATAGTTTAAATACATATTACGTTAAGGTCCTATCAAGCCTACAGGTGGTGATCATTTCACAGGACAGCAGTGTTGGAGGCGTTACCCTGTGCGTGCTGCTGGGGGCCGGTCCACCGTCCCCTCGGACTGGAAGCAGAGGACTCTGCTGCTGAGACTCGGCTGCTGCTTTGGCTTTGGCCTGCTGCTGAGCCACCAGCTTGGCCTGAGCGATCAGCGTGGCCTTGTTGCGCGTGCCCGGTGGCCGGCCTCTGCCTCTCTTCACCACCAAGGTGCCGCTTGGGTTCACGATCTACTCGGAGAGACGCAGATCAGCGCTCGTGTCTAGTGTCTTTTAAGCCTTCGCTGGGTTTGTTCATGTCTTTAGGATGTTGTTGTTTTTTGTGTGTATTTTTCTCTTGTACTGTAGTTGCACGTTCTTGTATTCTGTACATGTTACTTATTGCTGTGTACATATAATGTGCAGCTCATTGAGTTTACCAGCAATGAAATGTGCAATATCAATGCATTTCCCTTACCTTGCTTTCTTCATCTGGGCCGTATTCACAAAGGACTTTGGCTTTCCACAAAATAAAACACTCACTTGTTTTTAGCTGGAAATCCAGCGATGGCCATGGAACCAGCTTTATTTATTTATTTGTGCTCACCATCATCTCCACTGTGGATTGTTGTGACTTGTGGGTAAGCCGATTGGATCTTTATTAACTCACCACCATCAAAATATACTTTTAAAAGTTATTAATATGTCATTATTCCAAAAGATTAGACCAAAAACTTAATAAATGGCTAAAGATGGGGCTGACACACCCTACATTTTAAAAATGTCTCATAACTTTTAGTCCTAGGATATTTTGTGAATACGACCCCTGACATGTTAGGATGTTTGCAGGTTTTATCAAGACAAACTTATTTAAAAAGGTACATTCCGATATTGCTTCCAAACTTATCAAGAGTCAATGACGTCACAGTGTTTCTTTAAGATGAAGAGCCAACGCTGGCAAAAACACATCTCTGACTGAAAAACCTGTACGGTGCAAATTGGCAGCAGAAGTAAACAGAACAGGAGGCAAATTGAGTTTGAAGGAGTAGCAAAGTCATCCAAGTCATTACATGATTAAAACAAATGATAATAAAATGAACTATTGTGTACATTTGCTTTGTCACTTACAGCATGAGAAGCAGCAGGGGTTGTCATCTTCTTGTCCTTGGATTTGGGTCCTGGTTTTCTGCCTCTCTGAAGTGGTTTCCTTCCTCTTATCCCTCTGGGTTTCAGAGGCATGGGGGATTCTGGGATTTTGAATTCTGCTGCTTCTCCTCCTGCTGCTGCTGCTCCGAGGTGCTCTTCATAAGGAAGCATCAGCCTGAGATAAACACACACACACACAGTTACAGGATGCTAAGTGCATGTACTTTTAGATTTGGACCTTTTGTTTGAGCCTGAAGGATTTCGTAGGAGGGGTTCATGTTCATGTCTGACCTCTCGTAGTGTCTCCTGGTGCAGGTAGCAGCACTGGTGCTGCCGGCGCATCCTCCCAGCTCGTTATAGACTATTTTCCAGAGACGGTCCAATGTCACCTGTGACACACACACACACACACACACACACACACACACACACACACACACACACACACACACACACACACACACCTTTGAAATTCTGAAATCCTGCTGAAAAGGAACGCGTGTTTGCTGGGTTCACTTTGAATTGGAAAATTGAACTACCATTCAGAAATAAGACACGTTCAATGGGTAATCATCATGAAAATGGACGAGGAGCTGAATTAAGTGTGACCGCAGCTGGGACATATTTTAGGATGAGTCTGTGTGGGTTGAAAATTCATTTGAACTTAATTTTTTGTTTTTTGTTTGGCGTGTGAGTTGTTGGGTGTGTGTTGCAACAATTACATACATTATACAGTGTGTCATTAGGGGTGTAACACCATGTTGTATAATGCAGTATTGTTCAGTACAAGGCTCAGCTCAGTACAGAGGGAGAAATGAACGATTGAACAGGCCTTTTGTTGTCAACAGAGCCGCACTGAGCTGAAACTATACCGCCCGTTTCTGTACCTTCTGCCTGTTTACATCGATTGTAAAGCTGGGTTTTCTGTGTGTTTATTTACTGAAAACTGCTTAGAAATGACTGATTGTCACTGATTGTCACTGAATGCACATACCTATTTTCGAGGTGGCAATCTGAATTACAAAGGCCCGTTTACCACCCAAAACAACACATTGTTGTAGGGCCTGCTCTCTCTATTTGTTTAGGGTGTGGAGTTGGATGTGTCTTTATGCTAAGCTAACTGGCTGCTGATGCTAAGTAAATATTTAGCGTTCAGACATAAGAGTGGTTTCAATCTTCTCATGCAACTCTCCACGAAGAAACAAATAAGAATTTCACAAAATATCAAACTATTCCCCAAGATAAAGGTTAAAAAGGCTAAATAAACTGAAATAACTTGAAGCGACTCACCCTTTTGTGGCCTCCGAGCCGCTTGACCACAGAGTACATGAGGAAGAGGTCAACTAAGGAGAGAGGAGGCGGACATGTTTAAACTCGGCAGCATGGCAAGTGGAAACAGATGAGACATGCAAATATGAAACACGGCAGACAAAAGTTGTACCTCTGAAATAAAAGTACTCAATTTGATTAAACAAATGTGCTCTGATAAAAACCTGTAAAGGACTTCAAATGAGCACAGTTTTATTCTCTCCTGCTTATAAAGATCCAGATAAAACAAACCCTTCTGTTTGTATATGATTAGGGTTTGACTGCAGCCTTAATATGATGAAACAGATCAGATGAAATGTTAACGATCCTCAGGGGAAGACAGAGAGCAGAAGCACCGCTTTAGATCAGGACTTCCGCTGCCACATATTTACATAATCAAACACACAAAAGCTTCAGGCAGCTCCACGAGTAAAAACTTTTGTATTCAGTTTATCTCAGATCAAAATGATAGTTAAGATCCCAAAGTTTCCCTAGATATTAAATATAGTATTTTATCAGTATGAATATTTAATTGAACTTGATATAAGTATAAAGTAAATAAAGATATGATAGAAACATTACATTTGTATTTCTAATGAAGAAGTTCACATTTTGAGTTGTGGTATTATTCTGCATGATGTATATTTGTATTGTTATACGTAATAGGTGATGGTGAAGGCAGAACAAAAAGCTGAACTTGAAATATGACTTTCATTTTAAAGAACATTTTCTGCTGCTGGTAAACTGAACAGCAGAGATACGATATGAAGCCTGAACACAAACAAGTGATCGTTAAACCAGTCGAGCAGGAGTGTTGAGCTGCAGCCATCCACAGTGCTGTTTTAATCAGCTGTTGTTTCTAAGATGTGATCTTTTATAAGACCTTATTGTTGATATGACTTTATTAATCTGCTATCTTGTGGGATATTTTTAGCGTTTGTGATTTAGGTTGTCGGTCTGTAACTTTTGGCCTCTTGAAAAAGATTTGTAATCTCAACGGGGCAGTTCTGGTTAAATGAAAAGGTGGAACAGAAATGTTTTCTGACAGATTTAGCCAGAAGCATGATGGGGATGAACTGAACCCGTCAACTTCTCCTTTAATTTCTCTAATGTCAAGAGCACCTTTCAAAGAGGGAAAGAACAAAATATAGAAGGAGGGGAAAGGATGGAAATATAAAGGAAGAACAGAAACCAAAGAAACCAAAATATAAGTAAGACAGAAAGGAAAGAAATACATGAGAAACAGAAAGAAAATAATAAAAAACAGAAAGAGAAGAAAGACAAAAAGGCCAAAAAAAAAGAGATTAAAAAAAAGAGCGTACAGATAAGAGAGAAAGAAAGAACAGATAGACAAAAAGAAGAAATAGACAATGAGACTCACTCTTCTTGAAGCCAAGGTTGGGGACTTTGTGGATGGGCGAGCCGAGGCGTTCCATGTAGGCGAAGAGCTGATCAAGGAACAGCTGCTCCTCAGGGTCGGGGAGCCAGCTGCCCTCACAGCCGACCTCCACGCTGCCCATCACGTTCTCCTGAGAGGAGACGAGTGTTACAACACAGACAGGGACAGACTAAACCAGTTTACACAGTAACACATAGAATGAAACTAGAAATTGTCGGTCGTTTTGCTTCACGTTTTAGAAGTCTGTAGTCGTGTTGTTTAGTGATCAATCAAGTCTCAGTGTCAGTGAAGTCTTTATTAATACAGTAATTATGAGTTTCCTTTATCATCTTAAATACACGTCCACCTTTTATATCTAAATGAACAAGAATAACAATCTACGACAGCGGCTGTACTTTGACACAGCAGTGCTTTGAGCTACATGCTAACATCAGCATGCTAACAGCAGTGTCAACACAGTGTCATGTTCACACCGACACTGTGAACATGCTGCATTCAGCAGGTATAATGTTTACCATGGTTAGTTTCATTTTTAGCATGCGAACATTTGCTAATCAGCACTAAACAAAGTACAGCTGTGGCTGACTTTATTGTGTATTATGCATTTCTTTGCTTCTTGTTGAAAGGTGCTTTCCTCACCTTTATTGGTATTTATGTTTTGTTGCAATTTTTTTAACTTTATAACACTGGCTCTAGGACATGTAATTAGCAGATTTAGGGTTGTTGTATCTGGAGTGTTTGTTTTCCCCCCTCACATTATGGCTTGGTGGACGAACCCTGCTGGGCCTCCAAGAAGAGATTCTTCAGAGAGGCTTCAAACAAACCTGGTAGTTGGTGCATTTAACTTTGCATTTAACTTAATAATAATTAAAGATACTGCTGTGACTGAAAAAATGTAAGCCCCACAGACTTAAAAAATGACATATTAGGGACAAACCTTCATCCTCTCAATCCAGGACTCTGATTGGCTGGAGTTCGGGGAGTCTTTGTCGTCTTGGCCTCTCCTCTTGCGAGGTCGCCCTCGAAGACTGACAGACGGACATCCTGCAGAAAAAACACACAACAGAAACGGCTCGTAATTCTAAGTACTTTCCAATTATTTCAGAGAGAGATATATATATATATATATATATATATATATATATATCTAGATCTATCTATATAGATATAGATATCTATAGATATCTATCTATATATATAGATATAGATATCTATAGATATCTATCTATCTATCTAGATATAGATATCTATAGATATCTATCTATCTATCTATCTATCTATCTATAGATATCTATCTATCTATCTATCTATAGATATCTATCTATCTATAGATATCTATCTATCTATCTATCTATCTATCTATAGATATCTATCTATAGATATCTATCTATAGATATCTATCTAT